GGTCTGCATGGATGAAAGGGGAGGGAAGGAGGGAACGGAGCCCAGAAGCCCCCCTCTTCCCATCTACCTGAGCTGCAGATTCTTCATGAAGTCCTCCATTGTCAGTTGGTCCAAAAGCACAAAGTCAGGCTTTCCATACTCAGGACCATCCTCGTCCTCCATCCTGCCCGCTGGAAGCACCCCAAGCCAGGGCGCCAGAGCTTTCTGTACAGAGGCGAAGGGGAAGACAGAAAGGGGAGGCCCAGCCCTGCCTAACTCCTGCAGTGCTGCGGTAAAGTAGGAAGTGGGTTTTGCTAGGGTGCTTAGCCCTGCCCACTTGCTGCTCCCTTGTTTGGGTGCTTCAAGAGCTGTTTCCTGCTCCCTGGCCCACAAAGTTTGTGCTTAGCGGTCTGGTCCTCTATTCTGATGGGATCCTTGTCCTCCACAAAGCTCTTTTCAAGCTGGGTATAGTAATACATGCTTATAATCCAAAGCACTCAAAAGGTTAAGGGCAGGCTGGGGATGTGGCTATTGGTAGAGTGTGTGCCCAACACTCATCAAGCCCTGGGTTCAACCCTCAGCACCCTATAAAAACCAGGCATGGTAGCACATGCCTGCAGTCCCAATACTTGGAGAGGGAGCAGAATTTCAAGGTAGTATCTTACTACATAGCAAGTTTAAGATCAATCTGGGATGTATGACACCTTGTATCAAGAGGGGTTGCTGAGAAACAGGATGTAGTGATGCATGCTTTTAGTCTCAGCACTCGGGAGGCAGAGGCAGGTGGGTCTCTGAGTTTGAGGCCAGCCTGGTCTACAGAGTGAGTAGTGAGTTCCAGGACAGCTAGGGCTGCACAGAGAAACCCTGTCTCAAAAAAACAAAAACAAAAACAAAAAGGAGGGGTGACTGAGGCTGGAGGGTTACCATAAAGAATCAAGGCCAACACAGTCAACATAATGAATAGGAGGCCTGATAAAGCAAGACCCTATCTCAAAAGAACAGAAGTTCACCACAAGATTTTTGAGGGTTGGTTTCCAACCTTGGCAGCATATAATATATAGACTCATAGAGATTCCTGCCTCTCCTCTCTCCCTCTCTTTCTTCTTTCTTCCCTTTAACTCTATAGCCCAAGCTGGCCTTCTGCCTCACCATCCCAATGTCTCCAGGATTGTACCAGGTCCAGCAAAATGGATGATTCTTTTCATAAAACAAACAAACAAACAAACAAAAAACATTTATTTTATGTGTATGAGCTTTTAGTCTGCATGTACAAAAGAGAACTGTGTGTATCCCTGGTGTCTGCAGAAGTCTAGGGAGGTAGACAGTCCTCAGAAGGACTGGTCTCTTAACTGCTGAGCCATCTCCCTAGCCCAAGACATTTCTTCACATTTGGACAGACAGCTGTATGTCTGTCACCCCACAGCTCGACATTATTCAGGGATGACCACAATAGAATTTAAACCACAAAGGCTTTCTGCCTGACCCTGCAGATGAGCCAGTGGTGGGTGTTGTGAGATATTTTAATTGCACTCTGACACTCCAGAGACTGCCCAATAAGGTTATACCTTGAACCAGGGGATGGTGCCAGGGACTTGTTAACCGGAATTGGCCATAGAGAAGTCAGCCAGAAGCCTAATGAGTCAGACACACAGAATGAGAAAGGTAATAGCTACACGGTAGAATGTAGATTAATAAAAATATAGGTTAAGCCGGGCATTGGTGGCGTACGCCTTTAATCCCAGCACTCGGCAGGCAGAGGCAGGTGGATCTCTGAGTTCGAGACCACCTAGTCTACAAGAGCTAGTTCCAGGACAGCCTCCAAAGCCACAGAGAAACCCTGTCTCGAAAAACAAAAACAAAAACAAAACAACAACAACAACAAAAATGGGTTAATTTAAATTATAAGAGCTAGTAAGGGCTGGGCGTTGGTGGCGCTCGCCTTTAATCCCAGCACTCGGGAGGCAGAGGCAGGTGGATCTCTGTGAGTTAGCGGCCAGCCTGGTCTCCAGAGCAAGTGCCAGGGTAGGCTCCGAAGCTACACAGAGAAACCCTGTCTCGAAAAAACAAAAACAAACAAACAAACAAACAAAGAGCTAGTAAGGAACCAAGCCTAAGGCACAAGCCGAGCTTTCATAATTAGTCTCCGTGTTGTTATTTGGTGCTGGTGGCACAAAGACTTGCTGCTCATTTTTGGACTTACATATGAATGGTGCATTTCGATATGGCTAGCAGACCACACAGGTTTCTCTGTGCAGTCCTTCTGATTACAAGGTCTGCCCTGGGGGCAGCCCTCTCTGCTCCCTTCCCTCATTCTGGGAGGAGGGTAGATGGCAAGCCCTAAAGTTCCCAAATATGAGTTATTTTCAGGTCAACTTTGAGAGTTCTTATATTCACAAAAACCTGACTATTGTATTTCTTTTCCCTTTTTTTTTTTTTTTTTTTTCCTTTTGGTTTTTTTGAGACAGGGTCTCTGTGTATCCATGGTTGTCCTGGAACTCACTTTGTAGACCAACTCAAAGAGATCCACCTGCCTCTGCCTTCTGAGTGCTGGAATTAAAGGTATGTTGCCACCACCGCCCAGCTGATAATTGTATTTCAATCATTTCATTTGATTTTTTAAATTATTTGATAATGCAACATACCTAATGAAATTGTAAGTTCTTATCCACCATGTGGTAAAAGCATGTACCATTAGTGATAACATGTACCACTGGCCAAAAATACTCCAGATCCAGTAGCAGGGCTCTGGCTTTACCCTGGGGCAGCCAGGCTGCATCCTTTTAAGCCTGGCACAGACGCACTCCATCCCCAGTTTCCTGGGGTATTGCTTTGGTAGGGTTTCCCCAACGTGGGGACTCCCACCCCACCATTGGGTTTCATTTCCCAAAACTCCAGGCCTTAAAAAGACCCGTGACTTGTGCTGATTGAATCAAGAAGTGACGTGATTGAGTTCCAGTAAAATCTGAGACAAAGAACTCTGTAATCGACAAAAAAAATTCACCTATCATGATATAGTGCTTTTAGGTTTTTTCTTCCTAACCACTTAAAAATCCCAAGACCATTCTTAGGTCAGAGATTGACCCGTGGGTGTAGTATTAGATTCTGTTTCCCCAGCCTATGACTCAGCCTCTCCCACTCCGGGGGCTTGCACAACCATGCTTGCATTGACTTCCATGACACACAGAGTTACTCTCATTTCACATTACTGAAGCCAAGGGGATGGCATCACATTTAATTCCTTCCTGGATTGAACCAACCCTGGGCCCTTTCAGAGGCTCCAGTTGTTTTATAAGAATGGCTGGTCACTATGAACAGGTTATAGCCACTTGAAGTTCCCTCATGACATGGGCCTTATAAAATCAGACTAGCAGAACTCAGCATCATGCAGACAGAATAATAGGGTGGGGCCACCACCCACTCAAGTCTGCTGGGGACTGAAGAAACACTTGTAGTTTTACTGTTGTCCAGCTCAGGGCCAAATTGGCCATCTATGATGGTGTGTGTGTGTGTGTGTGTGTGTGTGTGTGTGTTTGCACACACATGCACTTCTGGTCTTCCCCTAAGTACCTGTTTCCCCCTTAAAACTGAACCACAGCTTTTTCTTTTTGGTGTTTTGCCTGTATGTCTTCGTGAGGGTATTGGATCCTGGAGTTACAGGATGTGGGTGTACAGAGCTGTCATGTGGGTGCTGGGAATTGAACCTAGGTCCTCTGAAGATCAGTCAGGGCTCTAAACCACTGAGCTATCTCCAGCTGCTGAACTACAGCTTTTTAATCTATTTTTAAAGTTTGTATGTGTGTGTTGGGGGCGGGGGCTTTCCCTTTTGTCTTCACATATGGCGGCATCTATTTGGGTAGTTTTTGTTGTGCTCAACAGGGTCGGGGTCTGGCATCTCTGAGCACTGTTCTATTCACTGTCAGTAGTAATGAAACCTAAAATTTACTCACTGTATCCTCAATGGCTGATTTTGCCAGGCCTTGCGCACTACATTTCCTGACAATAATGCTGTGTGATCTAGCCCTCTATGGGTTAGACTACACTGAATAGATTGACCCTCAGGGGATCATCACTCTCTTGGCTTCCTATCCTCCATCCTGATACTTCTGGTATATGTAATATGTATGGGTAATAACTACTGGTATAGGAAGAGGTAACTTGTATGTTTATTTTTTGGGGGGGGTCATTTCAAGACAGGGTTTCTCTATGAAGCCCTGGCTGTTCTGGAACTCGCTCTGTAGACCAGGCTGGCCTCCGGACAGATCCACCTGCCTCTGTCTCCCAAGAGTGTAGGGATTAAAGGTGTGCAGTGCCAACACCCAGCACTTGTATGGGTTTTCAAATACTTTAAAAATGTAGTTTTTGCCTAAAATGTGTCTGTGTACTTGTACCCAAGGAGGCCAGAAGAGGGTATTGGATTCCCTGGAACAAATTTTAAATGACTGTAAGTAATTGAACCCAAGTCCCCTGGAAGAGCAGCTACAGCTCTTAACCAACCTTCAGTTGGCTGTAAAGACACAGGGTTATCACACCTTCTAGAACTGGAGTTACAGCTGTTGAGCTGCCTGAATGGGCACTGGAAGCATATACCTTTGACTGCAGAGCCATCAACCAAGAGCAGATCCTTAGGCTCTCAGGGTAGTTCCTATGTGCCTTACCCCTCCCACATAGCTGAGGTGACCACCACACCCAAATGGCCACTCCCAAGTATATCCAGGGATGAGGCAAGAGGACACTTGGGCCCCTGCCTCAAAACCACAAGTGCCCTAGTGACCTTGGTTCATTTGGACTGAGCTTGCCACCAGAGTCAGTTTCTTTCCTTTTTTGGTTTTTTGAGACAGGGTTTCTCTGTGTAGCTTTGGAACCTGTCCTGGAACTTACTCTGTAGACCAGGATGGCCTCGAACTCAGAGATCCACTTGTCTCTGCCTCTGGAGTGCCAGGATTAAAGGTGTGCGCCACCACTGCCCGGCTTAGAGCTAGCTTCTTTAACACACAAAAATGGAAAAAACAGACTAAGGCGAATCAGATAAAACTCCATTTATTTATCTTTTTTGGAGACTGGGTCTCTTGTAGCCCAGGCTGGCCTTGAATCCATGATCTTCTTGCCTCTACCTCCTAAGAGCTTGGATAGCAGGTCTGCTTTCCTTTTGCCACCTCCAATATCCGTCACTGAGACTAGGAAGACAGTATCTGCCAAACACACTTGTCCTGAAACACAGCAACTCGGGCCAAGAACCAGAAACTGCTGATTCTTTTTAGAGGGGTGACAAACAAATAGCAGGCTTCAAATCTGGCCCGTTTCCTCATCTGCAGAGATTAGAAATGCCATACAGTTAAAATTAGGAAACACCACAAAACCAAATGCTATGAATGCCCACTGCCATGAGGGGCAATAGCAAAGCCTATGCCAAGTTTCTGATCCTGATTGCACCAAGTGAGCCAAAAGGCCTGCACCCACACCCAATCCAGCTAGACATATCATGACCAGAATACCATGCTGAACTCAAACCACAAAGGCAATCAAATGTCATCTCCAAGTATCAGGGCCAAGGAACCCAGATACTGGAAGTTCTGAAATAGTCTTATAAACTTTAACACAGCTAACCTTTCTGAGAGTCAATCACATGACTTATGGGAAGGCCACTGTTTTTTTCCTTTGGTTGTTGCTTGTTTTTGTTTCTGTGTTACAGCTGTTTTGTAACTCTGGAGACCAGGCTGTCTTCAAACTCCCAGAGATTCATCTGCCTCTGCTCCAAAGTGCTTGGATTAAAGGCACGAACCACCACCTCATTGGCTACTGTTTTTAAATACCTGGTGGCTGATGGACAACTTATCACAAACAAAAGTGAAGCTTAGGCTTGTTGGTATAGGCCCATAATTCAAACTCTTGGGGAGGTGGAAGCATGAGTCAGGGAGTTCAAAGCCATCCTTGGTTATACAGACTTTGAGGTCTGTCTAACAGGAGACACTTCCTCAAAACAGGAACAAAAATCCAGAAGTGACCTAATAGTGTCTTCTTGCATCCTTACCTCTTCAGAAGTTCCATGAGACAGCCTGATAACCACTGATGTGTCATTTCAGGTCTCTTCTAGTTCCAGCATCTTGGGTTTCCTAGACTAAAGAAAGAGTCAGTGAGCTGGGAAGCCTCAATAGTAAGCTGGGGACTGTCTACTTCCTTTACCCCACAGCTCCTACACCAAGAACAGGACAAACCCTTCAACCCAAGCTTCCCATCCTCTCCGGAAAGCTGTAGGGCTAGAGATACCAGCTATCAAATTTCAGCCTGACAGTTCCTGCTGGGAAACCCCTGGACACACAGAACTAGAGCGGAGGGAGGAAACCAACTCCTGCAAGTTGCTTTTGGACCTCCATGAGCTGTGCCACCCATGGACCACACACATACATAAAATAAGTAGAATATAAGATTTGGGCCAGACAGTGGTGGAACACGCCTTTAATCCCAGCACTTGGAGGTGGATCTCTGTGAGTTTGAGGCTAGCCTAGTCTAGGAAGCTAGTTCTAGGATAGCCAAGGCCACACAAAGAAACCCTGTCTTGGGAGGAAACACCCCCAAAAAACAATAAAGAATTAAAGATTTGGAATGAGGACACACACCTTTAATCCCAACACTTGGAATCAGTGGCAGGCAGATCTCTGCATTCAGGGAAATCCAGTGAAACCATTGGCATGAAACGTGCCAAGCCAAGCATGAAAATGCTTGTAACCCCAAAACTTTGAGCCACTGAAGCTGAAGCAGGAGTACTGGGAATTCAAGGTCATCCTCACCTAAATTTCAGGCCAGCTTAACCTACATGAAACCTTAAGTACTGGCACACTGGCCAGGCCTCCACGATCCACAGGCCCTCAGTCCCTGACTCTCTTGCCTTCTAAGAACTAGCTCCAGGACCCACATGCCTGCCGCCCAAGTCCTGTAAATCATCAAATCATGTGCTACCACACCTGGTTTTCATGCCATGTACTTTGTAATTGTTTTAAGGATTTAATAGTTTGCATTAACCCTGGAGCATAGAAAAAGTATAATCACGACTTATTTGCCTCTACACCACAACTGTGCAACTTTTTCACTAGTTTGAAAAAATAACCAAACAAGGAAGTGCAGCATTTGTAAATTCTATTCACTTGAAGTTTACCGTGGTAGGTGTCTGCTATATTGTCTGAAATTTCTATAACCTTGCTCTGGAGAGGGCAGGGCAAGGCCTCAAACCACTTCAAAGCTGTTCTGGCAAGCACTGTAGGAATGCACAGGGTCACTGCAGACCCAAGCACGCTGGAGGCTTGCTAAGGACACCACTCAAGTCTCCCCGGCCAACCAAAGTCCTCCGAGAACTCTGGAGGAGAGAATTAGTCCTGAAGGCGAATTAGACACCAAGTTTAGTTCCAGAGAGCCCAGATTACCTCTACTTTCCCGGAGAGAGTGAGGAAGGCTCTCCGGAAGTGGCTATCTCATTTAAAAGATTAGACAATATAAGCTGCTACATTATGTGACACACTAATTTTAGAAGTGTTTCTTAAACTCGTGACCACAGAAATAATATACACACCTGGACAAAAAAAAATGATCTCTTCTTCCTTAATCTTCTCAAGATATATTTTCGAGGCTGGAGAAAAATTCGACACATTAAGTTAATTCGAGTATGGTTCAGAGAAGTGAGGGCCCAGTTCCAGACTGGCAGCGCCCGGCTTTCACAACTAACTTACCAGGACATCTTCCAGAGGAGGCCGGTCAGCCCTTCCACGCTGTGGGTCCATCCACCTGGCCTCGATTTCCATCTAAAGGGGGACAAAACACATACAGCCCCGACCTGTGCCTATCACTCAATTATAGCCCCTCGAAACTCTCGGGTGACAGAATCTCTCGGAGGGAGAACCTCCATGCTTGGGCAGGGGTCGCTGAGGTTTGGGACAAGGTACCCGTCGCACGTGTCTCCCCATAGGACACCATCCCTACTCCACCGCAGCCTGACCTCCTGCCTCCCGCCACAGAGCCCTTCGATCCCTACCTGGCTTCAGAATAGCCCGGCATGACTCCTGGTCCCGGATGGCCGTAGATGCAAAAAAGGCGAGAGACCCAGCATACAAGAACGCGGACGGCACAGCCATGGCTGCGACCCGCGCACGCGCACACATATTTACCGTCATCGGCAGATCACCGAGCCACGCAAGCGTCTAACGTCATCACGCAGCCCCTCCCCGAAGCCTTGTGCGCGGGCTCCAAGTTGGTGATGTCATCGGGCCCAGGGCGTGGCCTTGAGCGCGGGCTCTGGGCTCTTTGGGCTTTGGGCCCGCCCTAGTGGTGGCTGGCGGTCACAGGTAGTCCTCAGACCTCGTGGCCACCCTCCAAATCTTCTCCCATGTTCCACCCGGGTGTCACAGCTAGGGGCTGGAATGGTACGGAGCCTAGGCAGCCCGGGCTGTCCCATAGGGGTAGGTGCCCGGGCTGGGCGAGATGTGGACGCGGGGGCCTCGGATGGACCAACCAACACAAATGAGAGGGGCAAGAAAGAAAACCCTTCCAGAATTTTCATTTTCTCTCCTTTTAAAATATATGCCTGCCTTTTTTTTTTTTTTTGAAATTCTTCTAACATGACTGCATCATGAATTTAGTTGAATGAAAAAAAAAATGTGTGTGGTGGAGGTGTGGTGGAGGAGTTCGTTACAGATACATGGGAGGGCATAGGCAGAGGCAGGGATATTTGAAAGAGTCCAGAGTGGAGACGACCAAGCTCTCCATGTGGGGAGAGAGGGGAACCAGATGTAGCAGCCAGAAGGACAAAGAGCCAAAAAAGAGGGAAGGCTAACCACTATGTCTGGATTATATAGGGAAGAGCCTCTAGGGCAAGTCCCTGGGTTGGAGAATTCAGGGTAGAGGGTGGGATATGCTGTAACAGGTAGGGAATGAGGGATGCTTTGTTATGTTAGATAGGCACCTCAGCCGTTTGTCCTAAATCTGAAACTTAAATGTGTTTTGCTGCAGGACAAGAATGGTTAAGAAGCCGGGCATTGGTGGCACATGCCTTTAATCCCAGCACTCGGGAGGCAGAGGCACGTGGATCTCTGTGAGTTCGAGGCCAGCCTGGTCTATAGAGTGAGTGCCAGCATAGGCTCCAAAGCTACACAGAAAAACCCTGTCTCGAAAAACAAAACAAAACAAACAAAATAAGAATGGCTAAGAAAGCTTGTAGCCACAATCTGCTCAGAGCGGCTATTCCCTCAGCCCTTTCATGAAATTTTTTAAATTTATTTTTATTTTATATTAATTGATGTTTTGCCTGCATATATGTGTAAGAATGTCAGAAGTCCTGGAACTGCAGTTACAGGTGTGAGCTGCCATGTAGGTGCTGGGAATTGAACCCAGGTTCTCTAGACGAACAGCCAGCCAGTGCTCTTAACCACTGAGTCATCACTCCAGCCCTCATTTTTTTTGGGGGGGTGGGGTGGGTGGGTGGTAGGTGGCCTGGTCTCCTTAAGCTACTGGTGACATAAAACACAGCTGACACCTGAAAAGGGGTTAAGACTATTCTTGGCCCAGGAAGGTGGGTCAGTGCCCCTTGCTGATGAGCCTGAGTTTGAACCCCAGAAACCATATGGTGGAAGGAAAACCAACTCCAGCAAGTTGTTCATCTCTGAAGAGACTCTGGCTATCTTGAGGGTGGTGAGCATTACTCTGGCAGGCCTTCTTTCCCATTCCCTCTACTTTCTAAAGCCGTTGGATTACATTCCCTCATTTGACCACTTTCTCCCCCTGAGGCTAAATACCAAGGTCTAGCTATCAGAGAAAGTCTAGCAATCAAAAGTTCCTTTTGGCTCGCCTAATTAACATGCCCAGTTAAACACCATCCTAACACAGGGTTTTCCCTTGTACCTTTATAAACTGCCATTTTCCCATGTGCCATGTCTGACTCCTCTACTCTTTGTCCCTTCCCTCTCTCCCTCTCCCTCTATTTTCTGTCTTTGTCTCTTATTCCCTGCCCTCTGTCCCTCTGGGACAAATAAATGTCCTTTGTGCTGAGAACTTGGTCTTGAAGATCCTAAACCAATACTTTTCCTTTCAATCTCCACTTGTGGGCTGTGGACTGTGCATGCTCACACACATATTACACACACACACACACACACACACACACACACACACACACACACACAAGAGCACATGCATGAACACAATAATTCTTGAGGCTATAAGAATGGCTCAGCAGTTAAGAGCACTTGCTAGCCAGGTAGTGCTGGCTCACACCTTTAATCCCAGCACTATGGAAGCAGATCTCTGAGTTTAAGGCCAGCCTGGTCTACAGAGCCAGTTCCAGGACAGCCAGTGGTACACAGAAAAACTGTCTTGAAAACGTAAAAAGAAAAAAAAAAGAGCACTTGCTGCTTACAGAGGACCCAGGTTCAATTCCCAGCACCCACATGGTGGTTCACAATTGTCTTTAACTCCAGTTCCAGGGGATCTACACATTCAAGTAGCTGGAATTACAAGTCTGTGCCACTGGGCCAAGCTGAAAGTTGTCTCTTTGAAATGTAGTTGTCAAGGGACTAGAAGCTCCATCTTTCAATGTCTTGGTGACAAGAGCTTGTTCCTTGACTCCAAAGTGCAAAACCTGCTTGTCTTGGGCTAACAAGATGGCTCATTGGGTAAAGGCACTTAACACTAAGCCAGATGACCAGAGTTGATCATTGGCATATATGTGGTTGAAGGAGGGGACCAACTCACACAAGTTGTTCTCTGACTTCCTGAACCCAGTGTGAAATTCATGGACAAGCACATTAAATAAATATAATTAAAAAATAATTAACCTCAGCCAGGTGGTGGTGGCACACACACGTTTAATCCCAGCACTCAAGAGGCAGAGGCAAGTGGATCTCTGTTTTATAAATACAGTTCAGGACAGGCTACAAAGCTACACAGAGAAACCCTGTTTGGGGGGGGAACAACAACAAAATAACCCCTACTTATGTTAGTCATTAAAATTGTCATAAGACACCATGACCAAAAGCATCTTGGAGAGGAAAGGATTATTTCACATAACAGTTCCATGTAACAGTTCATCATCAAAAGCAGCAAGGGCAGAAACTCAAGCAGGGCAGGGACCTGTAGGCAGGGGCTGATGCAGAGGCCATGGAGGCTGCTGACTGGCTGCTCATCATGGCTTGCTCAGCCTGCTTTTTTATAGAACCCAGGACCACCAGCTCAGGGATGGCACACCCACAATGGGCTGGGCCCTTCCCCAACAATCATTAATTAAGAATGATCTCGTTTTATTTTGGTTTTGGTTTTTTGAGACAGGGTTTCTCTGTGTAATAGCCCTGGTTGTCCTGAAACTCATTCTGTACAACAGGCTGGCCCCAAACTCACAGAGATCTGCCTGCCTCTGCCTCCCAAGTGCTGGGATTAAAGGCGCGTGCCACCACCACCTGGCTTACATTCAGATCTTATGGAGACATTTTCTCAATTGAGGTTCCCTCCTTTCAGATAACTCTGGCATGTATCAAGTTGACATTAATTAGCCAGCACAGTATGGGTGTTTTGACTGCATGTATGTCTGTGTACTATGTGTGTGCCTCTTAAGGCCAGAAGAGGGCACTGGATCCCTTACAACTGAAGTTACAGCTGCTTGTGAGCTGGGAATCAAATTCTGGTCCTCTGGAAGAGTAGGCTCATCTTAACCACTGAGCCGTCCATCACTCCAGCCCCTGATAGTCACTTCTTGTCAGGAAGGGATATAGTCAGTTGGGTAGAGTACTTACCTAGCAAGCTCAAAGCCATATAAAGATTCAGTCCTCAGGACCTCATAAGCTAGGTATAGTAATCCATGTCTGTAATCCCAGACTATCCTTGTCTACATAGTCTGGGACACATGATATCTTGCCTCAAAAAATAAATAAAAAGCTATATGAATTCATCTTTGAGATGTGAGTACACTTGGTAAGTCCACATTTACTTAATACTCAGTCCCTTCAGAGTTAAAGTCTCAATGAGTTTGTATTTTCTGGTTCCTGGGTCTAAAACATAATGAAAGAACAATCTCTAGATCATAATGCCCTCTCAGAAGCAGATAAATGCCCTCTCACCCTATATAGTGCCCAGATAAAGCAGTTGAGCACTGAAGAACCCTGATACCACATCTGTAATGAAGATCGAACAAACTGTTTTGACTGACTAGGACACCATGATTGTGTAGAAATGGAATATTCAGCTCAAGTTGCAAAATCTGGGGCTATTTTTAGTCTTTCATTTTATTTGGTTTTTGGAGATAGAGTTTCTCTGTAGCCCTGGCTGAAACTCACTCTGTAGACCAGGCTGGCCTTGAACTCAGAGATCCACTCTGCCTTCCCAAGTGCTGGGATTAAAGGTGTGTGCCTCTGGGACTGGAGAGATGGCTCAGTGGTTAAGAGCCTTGACAGCTCTTCCAGAGGTTCTGAGTTCAATTCCCAGCAACCACATATATAATGAGAACTCACAACCATCTATAATGAGATCTGGTAGAACACTGTATACATCATAAATAAATAAACCTTAAAAAATGATACAGTTTCTGAAATCTACAGATGCACTTTGCTGTATCAGGCTTACCTGATGTTCATATCAATATAAGTAGTAAACCTGTCAACTTAAGGGTTTCTATTGCTCTGGCTATAAAAGCTCATGTAACCCCTGTGGTGGTTTGAAAGAAAATGGTCTACAAAGGGAGTGGCACTATTAGGAGGTATGACTTTGTTGGAGTAGGTGTGCTCTTATTGGAGGAAGTGTGTTACTGTGGGGTGGGCTTTGAGTTCTCCTTTGCTCAAACTCTAACCAGTGACACAGTTCACTTCCTGTGGGCTGTGGATCAAGATTTAGAACACTCAGCTCCTCCAGCACCATGTCTGCCTGCATACCACCTGCCATGATAATAATGGATTATACCTCTGAACTGTAAGCTAGCCCCAGTTTAATGTTTTCCTTTATAAAAATTGCCCTGGTCATGGTGTCTCTTCACAGCAATAGAAACCCTAACTAAGACACCCCCCTTTCATGGTGGAACATGTTATTCAAGGTAGCTTGAATCCATGTTTCTCCATCGTGGTCACCCATACTTTATTTCCTTTAAAGAGCCATTACTTCATATTGACAACATATTGTAAGCCATTTTGGCTAAAACTGTTGTTCCAGAGTCAAATTGCT